TTTAATGGTAGCTTAAAGCAGAACTAACCAAGGAGCTCTTCAAAAGACTCTCAGGAGGCAGGGCAGCTACCAAGTCTGATGATCTCAGGCTGACACAGGGGCCACAACCAAGAAGGGGAGAACCAACTCCCCAAAACTATCTTCTGATCTCTACATATGTGTCATGGTGTGTGCACAATGCAATAAATGTAAAATATATAATTAAAAGCATCCTTGGGGCTGGAGAGATGGTCCAATGGTTAAAAGCATGTGATACTCTTGCAGAGGACCAAAGTACAGTTCCCAACACCAACATGGCATCTTACACCCATATGTAACTTCAATTCCAGGAAGATCTAGTACCTTCTTCTGACCCCTGAGGACACAAGGCACGCATGTGCTACATATACCTACATTCAGGCAAACACTCATACATATAAAATAAACCTAAAAAAAGAAAAGCCAAGATAAGTTTGTTTGTTTTTTAAGAGTTGGGTAAAGAGGAGTGTGTGGTCCATATCTACAATTACATCATCTGGAAGATGAAGGTACAGAGACCAGGAATACAAGGTCAATCTCTGCTACACAGAAAGCTGCAGTCCAGCATGGGTTACAAGAGGCTCAGTCATAAACAAAATAAAACAAGACAAAGCAAACCCTAGACATGGTCATGAATGCCTGTAATCCTGCAATCCCAGCAACTCAGAGGAGGCCGAGGCAGGAGAATCTTGAGCTGGAGGCCAACCTGAGCTAAAAACAAAGCAAGATCCTGTCTCAAAAACAAAGACCCCACAGGGAGCCAAACAATGCAACTCTTCAGACCTCCTAGCTGAGATCTAAGAATCGGATTTCATCCTGCTCTTTTCCCTGAGGCCTCTCTTACCAACAGCAGCATCACAAACAAAGCCAAAAAAGCCAGCCACCATACCAGTCCTCCACAGCCTGCTGACCTGGGTGCCGGGGCAGTGTGGGAGGGGTCTGAGCTCTTCCAGAGCCTCCTGAGAGCTTCCAATACTAGCAACTAACCTGAGGGATGGTCCGTTGCCCACCACAAAGCCTTGAACTTGCCTATAAATAGCTGATGTCCAGAGAAAGTGCACAGAAAATGGAAATACCAAAGGTTCCTTTGGGTCTCAGTAAAGAAAGTTATGGAGAGATCAAAGCATTGTGTCTCTTCCCCTGAGGGTCCTGTGACAAGAGTCTTCAGCAACCCCAGAAGCCCTGAACTGATTATGCTCCCTGCATGGGACTGTCACCTAAACCACAGCAAAGCATTTTCAAGGGCTGGAGAGATGTCTCAGTGTTTAAGAGTGCTGGCTCTGCAAGCATGAGGACCTGAGTTCGAATCCCTAACATCCATGTAAAAGGCTGGTTATGGCTGCACATGCCTATAACCTCAGCACTGAGGATGACACACACCTGAGGCTCTTCCAGCAAAGATGTCCCCTGTGCTTCATGGAAGTGACTGAGGGGAATGAGGTGTTGTGGAGGCTGCATCATCTCAGCTTGTGTGCTGGTCAGGTGTCTAAGGAAGAGGCAAGTAGACACTGACAGTTCCCAGCTCCATCTGCTCCAGTCTCTGCTTGTGTAGGTACTGGCACACACATTTCCACACACTCACATGCATGGCCCCCCTTTTTCCAAAAGCACGCATCACACACAGTGTATTCACATGTACACATGGGGATTAAAGTCCCATCCCCAGAACCCATGCACCTCTAGTATCGTGGCGTACACCAGGTCTTAGGGAATGAAGGCAGCAGAACCCCTGGGATTCCCTGGCTGGCCAGTTTATGGAGTTCAAGCTAGTGAGAAACCCTGTCTCAGAAACACAAGGTGAACAACTCCTGAGTAATCACTCCCAAGAGTGATCTCTGATCTCTGCATGCATACACACCCCCTCCTTGGAAGCCTCTATAGCCCAGCACACATTCTCAGATGATGTGGCCTCCACAACACTTTGTCTTTCTTGTGGCCCTAGAAGCCATGGCTTGTGGAGACCACATCTAGGAGTAAATATAAACACAATGTCAAACTGTCCTTAGATAGGAGAAAAAAAAAATCACAAAGTAAACCCCAGTGTTTGGAAGGACCAGATCCAATGCAGAAGTGAACTGGCATCTTGGACCCAGGCTGTGTGTCGTGGGCAGACTGATACAGTCTAACTGTAGTTCTGATTTAACAAACAGAGATGTTCATTGGGCATGGTGGTGCAAGCCTGAAATCCCAGTCCTCTGAAGGTTGAGGCATGAGAATCAAGAGCTCAGGGTCATCCTCAGCTATCCAGGCCAGCCTGGGCTACATGAGACACTGTCAAAAGAGAGTGAGGAGGAGAAACGGAAACTGGTATGGCTCCCATGGATAACCCAGCACTCAGGACGCTATGGAAGAAGGTTGCATGGCCAGGCCCACCTGGGATATAGAATGAGTTCCCGACCAACTGGGGCTGAAAGACACAATCTAAAAGGGGGTGACGGGGGCAGACATGTTCCTAGCCTTAGGTTCCATTCCCAAGCACTGCACAAGCTAGGCATGTGGCACACGCCAGCAGACCCAGTACTCAAGAGGCAGAGACAAACAATCAGAAGTTCAAGGGCGTTGAGCCTTTAAGATGGTAAAGGTGTTTGCTGCCAAGCCTGAAGTTCAATTCCCATATCTCGCATACCAGAAGGAGAAAATGGGGTCCCAAAAGCTGTCCTCTGGTCCCTCAAAAGCTGTCCTCCGGGTATCAATTGAACATGTGCATACATACACATGGAGAGAATATTAAATATTAAAAATATCTTTAAAAATTTAAACCGGGTGGTGGTGGCGCACGCCTTTAATCCCAGCACTTGGGAGGCAGAGGCAGGCGGATCTCTGTGAGTTCGAGGCTGGGCTGGACCGACAGCCTCGAAAACAATACAGAGAAACCCTGACCCGTAAAAACCAAAAAAAAAAAAAAAAATTTAAAACATGCGCACATAAAGAAAGAACAAGTAAATCAACGTAAAAAAATTAAAGAAGTTCAAGGTCATCCTTGGCTATACAGAGTGTTTGAGGCTAGTCTTGGCTACACATACCCCTATCTCAAAACACACAAATAAATAAATAAATAGGAAAGAAATGGGGAGGTTACAAGCACATAGCTACTAGGTCCCCTCCTAGAGTCTAGGGAACAATGGTGCAGACTGTAACTTCAGAGGTGTCCCTCCCTCCTGTCCAGGACCATTCTAAGAGAGTTAGGAAAACCTTGAGAGCAGGAGGCGGCAGACACTGGGTGAATGTGACTCATTCCTTCCCAATCAATATCCCCCCTTTAGCCCCTCAGAGCTTTAACTTTTCTGAGGTTTTTTCAGAAAGCTTTCTTTTATGATCATCCTCCCCACTGCCACTGAAGAGAGTGGGCCCTGAGGGTGGCCACCTGCTCATAGGCCACTTCCCTTCTGAATCACAGGACCAAGAGTGCAGCCTGTTTGTCCAAACAGGACAAAAATGCTTCTCAAAAGGCCACTTAGAATTCAGGGAAAGTCCTACAGCGAGGAGCACGCCCTGGGTAACCAGATCTGTTTTTCTGGAAGTATGACCTGTCCTTTCCTTTTCTGCCCAATTCTCGCCTCTGACACACAAACATTTGGGGACAGCTCAGGTCCCTGAGAGTCAGAGTGCACACAAGGGCTCTTGCTGTGGCTGCCTCATAAACTGTGTTTTTTCTTGTTCTCCAAGAAAATTCCCATTTCTGCTTTAAAAAAAAAAAGGTTAAGTCACAGCGACTAGGCAGGCAGTGAGGTCAGTGACGGCTGACATGGGTGGAGGGACGTCTCCGTTCCAACAGGACAATGTGGAACACATTATCATTCCAACAGGAGAAAAAAAAAAAAAAGAGCAGTCAACTTTGCAGGCGGTGCATTATCCTCCTCCCCTCTTTCACAAATCCTATCTTTATGGCTCCGGCTGGAGGGAGGCTTTAAATGCGAGCATAATTCAATCAGGTTTCATTTGGCCGCTAGTCACTTAGCAAAAAGGGATCGACTTCTCCCAGTGGAATTAGGGACAGGCTCCTCTCTGGAATGCACAAGAGGTGGCCCGCAGCACCGAGACACCGGTAATCAAATTCTTTTTGGTAATTCAGATTAACTAAACACTCGACGGGCGACAGAGGCTGGCCCGGCAGGTCTGCAGCCTGTCAGGCCCCCATCCCAGGGCTCCCCAGGGACAGAAGCCAGATCTCTCTGAGGGCCTCGGAGCTCCAGCTCAGCATCTGTCTCAGACGCCGCACTTGTCGGGGGGGGGGGGGGAAGGGGGGTATGGCTGCAAATGGTACAGAAATAGCTGGGGGAACAATGCCTCTTGCGGGCACACGGGTGGGGAGGAGACACTCTTGCGGGACGGGTGTAGGCGGGGGTGTCACTACCATCCTGCTGGGAGAGTGTGGGACTTCCCTCCTTGAGCTCTCTCGGGATGCCCCAGGTTAGACTGCACCTCCAAGGCACCTCCAGGTAAACTGAGGCCTGGAAGGGCCCTTCCGCCACGAATGACAGAGACTGGATCGCCCCCTGGAAGGCCACGGGGCCACGCCACCCGCGCCCACCCAGCCTTCAGGTGCAGCTCCCCCGGGCCACTTTAGGCCCCGTGCGCTCGCCAGTTTCCATGGCAACCTAGCAAGCCTGCCTCTATCGCGCCCCGACTCGCCGCGGGGACCGTGACCAGCGCAGCCCCGCCCCAGCGCGTGCCGGGCCACCCATGTCTCAGCCCGCGGTCTCCGCGCCCACCGCGGGTCCCCGTAGTAGCCCAGAGGCACCTCCTGGGCCATCCTCGGCCTCTCCTGACCTTCCTTCTCGCGCCCCGCACTCACCTCAGCTCAGCCCGTCAGCCGCGGCTCCCGCGCGCGGCTCCCACGCCCGCCGTTGGCCGAGCTGGCACCCGGCTCGAGGCGCCTCCTGCCGGCCGTGCAACGGACAGGGCGAGGCCCCCAGGGGGCGGGGCCTCCGGGGCGGGGCCTGTGAGGGCGGGGAGCCAGGCGAGGTGAACTGAAACCTGACACCTCACCGCCCAATGGGAAGAGGCAAAGCCTCGGATGGGCGGGGTCGCACGTATTGGGGCGGGCCTAGCCGGCCGGGAAATATAAATTATGCGCTAGCGTCCCCTTCTGGCTGCCAACGGTAGGGGCGATTCCCTGAGAGGTGTGGCCTTTGAGTGGGCGCGGCCTCGAAGAAGGGGCGGAGCCGAATGCCTACAGAGGGCTCGCGGTAAATCAAGGGGCGGGGTCTCAGGCAAGAAGGGCGTGGCCGATGCTAACCTGCCCTATGTGTGCTCTATGGTCAAGTAGGCGGTGTTGGGCCTCCATCCCAACTAGTGGACAAGAGTGGAGGGGTGGGCAAGCACATAACTGTGTCCCTTGAAATTTATGAACATGCATGAAACTGACCACGGGGGCCAGAATTTCGGTTTTTTAAAATATATTTTTACTTATTCATTAATTGCATAGTGTGTGTGTGTGTGTGTGTGTAGTACATGTTATCGATATTTACTCCATTTCTTTCATTTTAATGTATTCTCTGTAGAATTTTATTTTATATTTAAATAGGATCTCATATGGCCCAGACTGGCCTCAAACTCTATGTAATCAAGATTGACCTTGCACTCCTGATGTATTGCTTCCACCTTCCTTGTGTTGGGATTACAGGCTTGCATTACCATGCCTCGTTTGTGTAGTGCTGGGAATCAAACCCAGGACCTCGTATATAAAATACAAATGCTCTACCAAATGAACCATATCCCCAGCCCTTAGCGGCCAGAATTTTAAAAGACAAGTCAAAGTATGGCAGACTGGCTTGAAACCATGCAAAATGGGATGAAATCAGTTTTGACCCACCTGCCTTCCTAATAATCCTATAAGTACATCTTTTTCTTGATAGTTTATAGAGTGCAATGCTGTAAGGCAGTGGTTCTCAACCTTCCTAATGCTGCGACACTTTAATACAGTTCCTCATGTTGTGGTTACCCCAACCATAAACTTATTTCATTGTGGGGCTGGAGAGGTTAAGAGCACTGGCTCTTCCAGAGATCCTGAGTTCAATTCCCAGCACCCACATGGTGGCTCTCAACCATCTATAATGAGATCTGGTGTACTCTTCTGCCTCCAGGCATAAAGGCAGGCAGAACACTGTATATAAATAAATACAATTTTTAAAAAAATTATTTCATGGCTACGTCCTCACTGTAATTTTGCTACTCTTATGAACCATAATGTAAATACCTGATATGCAGGATATCTGCTATGCAACCCATGTGGGGCTGAAAGCCACTTTTGTAGAGTAATGACCCAATGTTTGAGAGAAGGGAAAGGGATAGACATTTACAGACCACCCCTTCTGCCAGACCCTATATGTTTCGGGGCTTTACCCAGCCCAGCCCCCTATATTCCTGCACCAGCACTTAAAAGGCTCTTACTGTCTAACTCTTCCCCTAGTGATGCAGAGGCACAGAGAAGTCAGGTGACTAGAGGTCGGCCAAGGCTTGGCTTGACTGTGTGATGAACCAGTACCCCCGCAGACCCCTACAGGACACCCCCCATCATGCACACCTACCTCCTCATGTGCTTAGTCTGGGAGGTTGTAACCAAACAATATACTGGAATATTTCCATACAATTTCCTACAAACAATAGCAGAGAGGCAGTTACTAGGGCTGGGAGGAGAGCGTGGGTTCAGCCTGGATGTTTTTCCTGACACATCCCGGACTGTAACCAGGCCCATCTCCAGACTCTCTATAACCATCTCTGGCAGAGACTCACACACTGCAACATGGGAACCAGATCTGGACTATTTTTGTGAATAAAGTTTTATTAGGACACAGCTATGATTGTTTACAAACCCATCGGAGTGACTGATAATTTGTAGCCTGAAGTGGACTGAATGTAAAACACCTACCTCAGATTTACGTTTCCAATGTTTGGCCACCAGTCAGCAGAGTTCTTTTGGAGGCTGTGAAGACTTTATGGAGTCGAGCCCAGATGGAAGAGGTAGGTCATGGGGGCAGGTTTTTGAGGGACTATCATCCCTGACCACTTTCTGCCTGATCTCTGCTCTCTGTTCCCATGAGGTGACTAGCTCTCTGACACATTTGCTTGCTACCACAATGTTCTGCACAAACTCTTGGGGCCACATGGGCAAGGACAGACATCTCTGAGGCAGTGAGCCGAGACGGCCTTTCTCTTTCAAGTTGCTTCAGTCAGGTATTGTCACCACAAAAGTAACTAAGACACACAGCAAAGCCTAAAAATTGCCCCCGTAAAGGCCCCACATACAGGAACATTCTGGGAACTGAGGATTGGAATTGGGACTTCAGCATCTAAATTTCAGGGGAACACACAATACAACCCATGAAACCAGGTTTCGTCACCTAGGTGCTTTTAATTTGTCCTTAAAGACTATAATGGAGTGCTGCTTATATGGTAGCCTCCAAGATGACTGCCAGGAGCCACATGTTCTGGTTTTCACATCGCTTCATAAACTAATGTAACAAACACAATGTTGTCTCAATGATACTATGACTCTGGGGCTACATGATGAAAGATGTGTCTGCCCACGACATCTCTTAAATCATTTACTCTGAGGTAAGCTGACAAATATGTTGGAAAGACAAGCAAACTGCTCTGTGTGAAGAGAGGCACCTACCAACAAACAGCCAACCCCAATGCACACATGTCTGTGAGCTGGGCTGGATTGGATTTTCCCTACCCAGAATCCCAATCCCAATGTTGCAGCCTTGATTGGTAGCCCTGGCTGGCAGTCCTGGAGCTCGCTCTGTAGACCAGATTAGCCTTGAACTCAGAGATCCACCTGCCTCTGCCTCTCACATTCTGGGATTAAAGACATGCACCACTACTGCCTGGCATTCTGGCTGAAATTTATTTTTTTTATTTTTTGAGTATGGGTTTCTCCGGGTAGCTTTGTAAGACAAGGCTAGTCTCGAACTCACAAAAATCCGCCTGCCTCTGCCTCCTGAATACTGGGATCAAAAGCAAGCGCCACCACCGCCCAGTTTCTGGCGGAAGTTTAACAACCAATTCCATTATGGATATATCCCACCAAAAGGGATTATGAATGAAGGGCTTGGTCCTCAATGCAAGCCATAGTCTTATCTGGAGCTTTGGATAATTGTCTAGGTTGTAAGGGTGCTAACTTAATCAATGAAGTAACCATGTCTTTGTTTTGCATGTGAGAACATTCATACATGTGAATGTGGGCACACACTCGCCACAATGTATCTGTGGAGGTCACAGGACTACTCCAGGCTTTGGTCCTCGCCTTCTATCTTATTTGAGACAGGGTTACTCTGTTGTTTTTCCACTGAGTATTCCAGACTGGCTGGGCTAAGAGCCATCCCATCCTCGCCTCCCATCTTCCCATGGGAGTGCTGGGATTACAGATGCTTGTTCTGTCCATCTGGCTTTTGCAAGGGTCTTAGGGATTCCAACTCAGGGTCTCATGCTTGCAGAGTGCTTTTACCCACTGAACTATCTCCCTCTCCAAAGGATTCATCATGGAGACACAATATGATTGCGTCATCAGGAGGTAGCAGAAAGTGGCAGGTGGGGGTCTAGCTGGAGGAAGTAGAGACAGAAGCTGGGGACATGGAGCACAGTTTGAGTAAGGAAATTTGCTTAATAAAAAAGTAAAGCAGGTCAGGTGTGATGGCATACACCTTTAACCCCATCACTTGAGAGGCAGAGGTGAGTCTTGTCTACATAGAAAGTTTTAGGCTACATACACAGTCAGACCCTGAAGAAGGGAGTCAGCCTGGGTCACATAGAAAGACCCTGTCTCAAAACAGAAGTAAACGGTTAGAGCCTCACCTTCCTCTTTCTGCCATCTTGGTGACTGTGGAAGCCTTCAGAAGCCTGCTGGGAACAAGACTTCTAAAAGGGGTGGGCAGTGGTGGCGCCCTCCTTTAATCCCAGCACTTGGAAGCAGAGGCAGGTGGATCTCTGTGAGTTCAAGACCAGCCTGGTCTACAAGAGCTACCAGGACAGCCTCCAAAGCCACAGAGAAACCCTGTCTCGAAAAACCAAAACAAACAAACAAAAACTGGATTCTCAGTGGGCGGCGGTGGTGGTGGTGGTGCCCGCCTTTAATCCCAGCATTCTGGAGGGAGGCATTGGTCGGCCCATCTTGTTGAGTTTGAGACCAGTGTGGACTGTAAGAGCTAGTTCCAAGACATCCTCCAAAACCCTAGGTTCTCAGACCACCTGAAGTGAGCTACAGATGAGATGGGAGTAACTCCGCCTTCTCCATCCACCATGCCCTACAACCCCTTGACGCGGAGTACAGTTGGGAACAGCAATGGCAGCTGGAACAGTACTTCGAGAAGGAGCCACCCAGACCTCGAGGCTCGAAGGGATCTGGCCACCAAACTTGACCTGACCGAGGAACAAGTTGAGACTTGGTTCGTTCAGCCCTCCTTGGAGGAGGAGATGCCGCGACCAAACTCCTTTCCATATTCCTTTGCTTACCGATGTCCAGGATACCCAGCCCTCCCGGGCGCACACCCTGCTGGCCCTCCCCGGTCCTTCATTCCTTGGAGTCCTCAACCAGATCCTTCTGGGATCAATGTCCCTATCTCCAGAGCTAAGATACAAAGCCAAGAAAAAGGCAATTTACCAGGACCTGGCTGACAGACTCAGACTGGCAGAAACAGACATTAAGACCCAAAAGATGAAGCCCAAGCAGTTGTCCAAGGCCCGTGGAAAGGAGGGGAGGCAGAGTCCACCCAAAACACCAACCCCAGGCTCCCTGAAACTCTGGAAGCCTTGAAGAATCTCAATTCCTCTCCAAGCCACCAAAGCACGGTTGACAAGTCACCTGATTTCTGAGAGTGTGTCACGGTTCACCTCTAGCATCTGAGGATGACAGCCTGTCCTGCACATTTTGGGGTTCTGATTTTGAATCCTGGATGGTTTGTTTGTGGCCTGGGACTTTAACCTCCAAGGTGCCAGGCTTTGTGATAAGTACTGTGATTCCATTCTTAGGGGGGCCTTTTTTCTATTCCTATGGAATTTTTTTTCTCATATAACATTCCGTTTTGTTTTTGCCCATTTGAGGGCAATTCATGCACCACCTTGTCCTAGCATTGGCTCTTTTTGTTAAATGTTAATTCAGCTTGCTTTTGGGGGAGGGGCTCTTGGGCTTTCATGCCCATCTAACGTAGGTTGGTAATAAAGCCAATCATAGATATTAAAATGGCTTTTTTAGGTTTTTTAAAATCAGGCCTTATTCCATAGCCTAGTCCAGGGTTTTAAAGGCCTAGAATGGCTTGCAGATTGGGGTTGGGTATCTTGGGTTTCCTGCCTGGTAGATTTATTACATGGATGTTTTTTAGCCTGGGGGTGAGAGTAAAGATACTACCAAAAGAGGAGTGCAGGGGTGAAGGCCTTTAAACCCAGCATTCGGGCAGAGGCAGGAAGATCACTTGAGATCAAGGCCAGCCTGAGCTATAATATAAGATCCTGTCTCCAAAAGGTAAATAGGAAGTTCCAAATCACATGCCTTCTACTACACACTGTCCCTCTCTTATTTTTTTTAATGTCTGGACGTTTTGCCTTCATGCATATATGTGTACAACATGCATCAATGTCTGCAGAGGCTAAAAGATGCCCTGAGATGGGAAACTTCTGAGTTACAGATGGCTCTGAGTTGCCATGTGGGATCTGGGATCAAACCTAGGTCCTCTGCAAGAGCAGCCAGTGCTCAAAACCACTGAACTGTCTTCAGCTTTGGCAACATTACCTTACAACCTCTTTTCATCGGTTGTTTGTTTTGTTTTTGGAGACAGGGTTTCTCTGTGTAGCCTTGGAGCCTGTCCTGTAGACCAGGCTGCCCTGGAACTCAGATCTGCCTGCCTCTCCCTCAGGAGTGCTGAGTTAAAGGTGTGTGCACCACCACCTCCTGGCCAGGAGCAGTGTTCTCATTAACCCTGTATGGCTATTTCCCGCAGCCCTGTCTCTGTAGAATGTAGAGTCCCGAAGCTGGGAAGACGGTTCCGCAATCCCCAGAGTTGTTATTGCTGAAAGCCAGGGTTCTGTACCCAGCACCCACAGGGGGCTCACAAGCCTTCAAAGGTGCACATACAAAAAGTTTCCCAGGTAGTGACAAAAACTGGACCCTGTTGTTCTGTACAGATTTGGGGGGAGCATGTGCAGAGAGTAACTGTTGGACCCTTCCCCCATAGGGACTGCTGACCAGCTTCTGACTAGGAGCAAGCATATCCTGTTCCCCTCCTTCCAATTAGGCCTGTATTCAAGTTCCTGTTTTCGGCCCATCCTTATTGTCTGAATTCAAGTTCCTGTTATCCGCCCATCCTTATTGCAGGAGGACCCTGGGAACGTGAGCTTCTGACCTTGGTAGTTTTCCACCGTGCCTGCTGATTGGTATATAATGCTCCCCTCTTGTTACAATAAATGACATTCTTCTTGCAAGAAAAAAAAGACTTTTAAAAGGTAAATATATCTAGAAGGCTGTGGTGCAAGGTCTCTGGAAACCAAAGAGAGCACAAGGCTCTTCTTAAAACTGAAGACATTTATGCCCAAAATGAAACTGAATTTTACTTAGGCAAGAGATATGCTCCTGTGTATAGAGTAAAACAGCAATACAGAGACTCCTGAAATCAAATGAACAAAATGAGAGTGATCTGGGGAAAGGCTACTCGGGCCCATGGAAACAGTGGCAAATTTCATGCCAAATTCCAAAGCAACCTTCCTGCACAGGCCATTGGACACAGCATCCATGTGACACCGTACCCTTCCCAGACTTATACTAATGAAATGTAAAACAATCAAAATGGATTTGCCTCTGGAAAAATAATTAATGGAAACAAACAAATAGATAAATGAAATGAATTTAAGAATTTAATGTTTAAAATAAAATTTAAAAACAAGATAGCAATTGAGGAAGATACCTGGTGTTGACCTCCGACCTCCACTCCCATACAAGTGCCTGTGTGCCTGCCCACACGTGTACATTCACCTAAAAACATGTACATTACACACACATATGTACACACAGTCATCAGAGAGAGAGAGAGGGAGGGAGAGAGAGAGAGAGACAGAGAGAGACAGAGAGAGGAAATGGAGTTTGCGATGCCATCTTTGGCCAGCAGGTGGAGGCAGATCCCTAGGACTGTCAGGCAAAGGATTTACTGAGCCCAAAGATAAGTATCAGGTTAAGCTGTGTCCCCAGAGGATGGACTTTGCAGAAATGAAGAGAATGGACTCCTGGTTAGGAGAGAGGTGATGAAGAGCAGGTGTCAGCAGGCGCGTTCAATTAATAATCGGGTGCTGCCTGTCACCTGCAACCCATGGGGCAATACAGTTACAAAGATGAGCAAGGCAGCCTCTGCAACTGGGGTGGCAGCTCGCCGGACAAGGGCACCTGCTGCACAAATATGAGGACCACAGTTCAAATCCCCATAACCCTTGTAAAAAGCCAGGTGTGGACACACATACACCGTAACCCCAGCAAAGTGGGGACCAGAGACAGAAGAATCAGTAGGATTTATTGGCTTCTAGGCTAGCTCCAGGTTCACTGGCAGAACCTGTCTCAAAGGAATAATATGGAGAGTGATAGAGCAGGACACCTACATCCTCCTCTGTCCCCTGCATGCACACATAGGCACATGCACTCACACAGACATATGCCACCCACATATATACAAGCTGGTGTGAAGAGTTCATTATAATACAATGAGATACCAATTGTATAACTGTCAGCTAATGCTGTAATAGTGGTGTGTAACAAGCATTCAGAGACCTACACTAAAGAATTGTTATTGCCTGCATGTTGGTAGGTGATATGACTGGGTGGGATTGCATTCAAATCTGCTCTGCCTGCCTCCACATTCTCAGAAATGGTCTTACCAGGAACCCGATTTTCTCCTGAAAGATAGGGGAAGTGCAGGGGTTCAGACCATACCACAGGAGCTGACATAAAGAACCTGCTGCCAGGTCCAACAATGCACACTTATGACACCTGCTGCACTCGGGAGGCTAAAGAAGGGACGGACTCAGCCTGGGCCGTGGAGTGAGACCCTGTCTCAAAAAAACAAAACAAAACAAAACAACAATGCTGTATGAGATTGGCCCACCCATGTTCCATCATAGACAGGGGAGTAGCTCGTGAGGCCACACACCTTCCTGGGAAGCTTTCAGGGTAGGAGAGCACAGCCATGGGTAAATTGCCTATACGCCTAATTGACACCTGACCGGAGAGACGGTTCAAAGAGGACAATGGTAAAGAATACCATCAAAATACCCCCATACATGTATTAATTTGTCAAAAATCAAATAAAAATATTTTTAGCCAAGCATGGCAGTGTACACCTTTAATCCAGTAGAGGCAGATAGACCCTGTGAATTCAAGCCAGCCTGGTCTACACAGTGAGTTCCAGTCCATCTAGAGCTATGCAGTGAGACCCTGTCTAATATATACAAGTATGCATGTATGTGTGCATATATGTTATATTTAAGCAATACTCATATATATGTATATATATGCACATCCATACAAATACCCACATATATACGTACGTGTGTGTGTGTTTGTAGAGAGAGAGAGAGAGAGAGAGAGAGAGAGAGAGAGAGAGAGAGAGAGAGAGAGTGGGTGGGGCTGCAGAGAAATTGGGACCTTTACATGTTCCTGGTGAGAATGAACAGGGTGACATGGTGTATTCATTTCTTGTTTGATTTTTGTGACAAAATATCTGGCAAAAACAACTTGAGAAAGGCAGGGTTCATTTCAGCTCACAGTTTGAGGGTACAGTCATCATGACAGGGAAGGCTTGGTGGCAGGAATGTGAGGCAGCTGGTCACATTGTGTTCCCATACAGGAAGCAGAGAGAGGTGGATGCTGGTGCTCAGCCCACTTTCTCCTTTTTATTCAGTCCAGGGCCACAGCCCATGGGATGGTATCACCTATGTTCCAATTAACCTATCCTAGAAACGCCCTCACAGACACCCCAGAGGTTTATCTCCTAAGTGAGTCTAGATCTAGTGACATCAACTATCAATAGTAACTATCCAGAGACTTAGGAAAATTCATAGTGTCTAAATGATAATAGCTTTCCTCAATGATCTAGGAACTCTCAGGAGAAACAGAGACACAGTTCTACACAAAAACTTGCATACAAGGTCTGGAGAGATGGCTTAGCACTAAAGAGCACTTGCTGCTCTTGCAGAGGACCCAAGTTTGGTTCCCAGCACCCACACCTAGGGCCTCACAATCTTCTGTAACTTCAGCACCATAGGGATATATGTGCCTACCCGTGTGTGTGTGTGTGTGTGTGTGTGTGTGTGTGTGTGTGTGTGAGAGAGAGAGAGACAGAGACAGAGAGAAGAGGTAGATAAATAAAGCAAATCCAAAAAAATGTGTGTGCAAATGTTTGCAGCAGTAAAAGGCTTATTATATTTACCAGATACCCACACAATTGATATATCTATCACTTAGCAAATGGACAGAAACAAATGCGATGGGT